CTGTTCGGCGTCTTGAGTTAATGGCCGCAATAACTGGTCTATGACTGACGCAAACAGTTATTGAAGCTTTAGAGATTCCTATGAGCACCGTAACATTCTACTCTGACATGGAAAGGATTTTTGTGTATTTGTGGCTAATAGAGTAGGTGAAATACAGATGTTCAGTAACCCTCAGCAATGGCAATGTCTGTCTATGGAGCAGAATCCTGCAGATATTATATAGATTGTCAATGCAAACCAGACCCACCCGTGAATGCAAACCAGACCCGCGCGTGAATGCAAACCAGACACATCCACAATGAGTACATCATGGATGTGTCTGGTTTGCATTCACGCGTGGGTTATTCGTGTTTTGAGCAACATGCAGAAAAATCAAACTGGGTATCTGAAATAGAACTACACACAGGATGCGGAAGCAGATATCATTCGCAAAGCACAAATAGAAGCTTTTTCCGAAGAGTACCAAGCCCTGAAAAGCAACAAGACAATCCCATCGAAGAGTTCTTTGATCAAGTTATCACCTCAAATTGATGAGAACGGAATCATTCGTATGGACGGCAGGCTGATGTATGCAGATTACCTTCCGTATGACGTAAAACATCCCATAATCCTACCCCGGGGGGAACCAAGTAAGAAAACTAGTTAAATATTACCACGAAAGAGCAAATCACACAGGGGGCGTAACTTTATCTTATCTCAATTATTGCAAAGATTTTGGATCATAGCAGCACGGGAAGAGATTCGAAGCTGGGAAAACGAATGTAACAAATGCAAAAACAAAAGTAAGAAGCTTGCAACACAAGTAATGGCTCCACTGCCCAAAGTTCGTCTAAGGTTCACCTTTCGCCCATTCTACCAAAGCGCTGTGGATTACACAAAATAATTACAAAAAATGGCATAGTTTCTATTGACTGATGTATTTACGAAAAACCTTGTTAACGAAGCAATAGATTGGGACCCCAAGGAAAATATTAACAAGCCACCATGTCAAAGAACTACCACACATGTAGATGCTCTAAAAGGTGCAATTACCAGTTGTGGTATCTCATTTAACATCTGGGAGAATGATGGTAGGGCGAGTGGTCTATATGATTTTACGAGCTTAATGGGCGGTGATAAGAAACCTCTTTTGGAAGAATTACTCTGTAAGTTGCAGGTCGTTTTGAATCCAAAAATCTGCAACACAGTTATACAAATTTGGAAGGTGGCTTTTGTGGGTACAAAGAAATGTCATATATTATAGAATTATTTATAAAATTGACATACTGTAGTATATGTCTGTATCTCTGAAACATTTATATTGATGTGACATATTTCACTTCACCAGGTGTTTCGTACCCTCGTTGTGGGACACTACTTCATGCGAAAAATCACAATAGACAGACGATTAATCTTTAATCTTGTACTAACTGTAACTCTCGTACAGGCGATATTATAATAGATTGTTCAATACTTCAATATTCAATATGCCGTGTATGGTTCATACAGTACAGATACTACAGAGTCAACTATAAAAACAAAGTAACACTCCAAGTTAATAAATATAAACGTTGTATAAACAGCCATCTATTGCCGTACTTACAATTTCGTGGATTATCCGTCTGTTAAGTTACGATAATACTAGGGTACCTGCAAGGTAGGGATTGCTGCGGGCATTATAAGCCAATAAAACTACATAGCAAGAGTACGATTTCTTTATATTTACTACTGCTTTTTGTCATATGCCATGTAGTTTCATTTGCTTATTTGCTTAATGCACACAGCAATGCTGAGCTTGCACATACCCTAGTAAGTAAATGTAAATTTCGAGACAGACAGCACAGACTTGGTTCATTGTAAAATTGTATATTATTTTAAATTAGATTTATGGAACTCTAGGACACACATAGGGACCTTAAGATCTGTGGAAATGACGACAGTATTAGTTCACGTCCGCAAGGTCACTATTAAACTAATATTAACGTAACTAATTATTAACCTAACAAAACAGTAAGAACAAATCAAATGTATTGAAGCTCGAGTGCATCACTGCGTGTGAGCGATAAATTGTCGAAGCACTTAATTGTAAATAGTCATAAGGGTTTTTATTTCTTTTTGTGCACAGACATAACATTCTTTTTCTTGTTGAAGCACACAGTAGCTTCAATGGTTAGCAAAAATTCCATAATGGACTCGTCGTCTAATGTTTCCAAGTCTTCCGTGGTTTCCTCACCGATTTGACTTTTGTGAATATTATACAACTGTTTGAGTTTGTCTTCAAACAGAATTAAGGACAAAGAATTTCCTGCCTTTAGGAACATGATGTTTGCGATTAAACGCTGCTGACACTTGTTAAATAATCGTGCCAAACCACACTCTGGACATTTTACCAGTGGTTTTGCACCATTGCGAATCAGCTTCGTTTGGCACTTCTTGCAGGAGGCAAAGCGTTGAACAGATTGAACACCTTCCGCAGGGCACTCGACCTTTTCTGTATTAGGCATCCCTTCGGCAACCCCGTCCTCTCTTGTAATAGAGATATTGGATTTACTGATGCTTGACACTTTATTGAGTGTGAGATACTTGACCATTTCGTACTCTCGAACAACAATTCTGAATATACTGTAAACGAACACGGATGTTACCCAATTGATGTCGTTCTCCCACAATACAAGGCGAATTGTGCCTGAGTTGTCAGTGAACAAGGCTTCTTGTTTACGAAGTGTCTTGCCTTTAGACAAGACCGTTTCCTCGCCATCTGTAAACGTGATGCGGCCTACAAACGTTGACAACGGCGTTGGTGTCTCCTTCGAAAACCTCTGCGACAGTGGTTATTCCAGGCTTACATTTATCTTTATTCTCGATTTTCTTAATATCGAAGAATACTCTGAATCTAGTGGATCTGCCAATTTGGTCCGCTTATTTATATGCACCTCGTCCTGATGTGTTCTGTCATTCCTCTTCAGTTGAAACTTCGAAATTTTCACCGGTGACGACGACTCAGGCAAGTGTTAAAGGTAATTGCTGTCTTTCAAGTATGCTATTTTCAACTCTTACAGTGGCAGTCACTGGTGGAATAGGAACACAAGAAAGCATATTTGAAAATGAAGGGCCATGATAGTTGTCAAATTTTACCATAACAGCAATAGGCAAGTCAGGTGGAGCATGGTTGCCTGCATAAATTATATTAACAATGGTTCCTGTTGAGCCATTACATAGACCCACAGATGCCCATAAATTCATTGTTAACATTACTCTTGCTCCTTTGGAAATCAAAATAAATGGGTGCAAACCAAGCATATCTTGGGAACCAATATGTTTAGCATCATTACTGGAATGTCGAGCTTGGATTTCAGCGATTGGTGTTCTTAACTTAACTAAGTGATCATAATTGTATTTTGCTACTTCTTCATTGCTAAAATACAACCTTGTTGCACTTGAAAAATCATGAGTGTTAGACACAACACTTGGTTGACGACTGAGAAGTAATTTCCAGTCATTTAAACTAGAGCTGCTCCCGATTAATCGATTGATCGATTAATCGATTATTTTTCCACAATCGATTATGCTTAACAGTAATCAGATAATCGGATCATCTATAACACCACACAGCGTGATGCGGGAATTAGTTAATTTCTTTCCGGATTAAAAATATTGCGACAAGATTGTGATCAAATGACAAACATTAATGGCCCACACAGACAGGACGCGAATTGGCAACGCGGCGCGAATTTTCAACGTTTTTAATTTTTCAAAATCAAATAAATTTTAACCTATCATAATATTCTTGTAGATTACATAACAATAAAACATTTTGACTGCTCTAGCGTCCATAGTTTCCAAATTTTGCGTCCAGTATTTAATTTATATGCTTCTGAAAACTCAAAATTCGCATCGCTTTGCCGCTTCGCGTCCGGTCTGTGTCGACCTTAAGGCAAATATCAAATTCAATCGCAGCGTGAGAGAAAGGTTTCCTTTTTTTCGCACGTTTGTAAGCAACGTTGTAAGGTAATAAAGAATAAAGTTATGATGCTGATGTTACGTTCAATCAAGTTTTGAAATACAACTGTATTCTTTATTCAGTAATGCCACAGCCCACAGGTATAATACTTGCTTACAAACGTGCGAAAAAATCGGGAAGCCTTTCAAGTGCATGCCATGCCCATGAGCAAAACATGTTTGTTATTGTTAGCTAACTTAACCGCCCAAACGTCAGTTTCATTGCTCAAACATGACACCTGGCGTGGTGAAACAAACGTTTTGAAACGTGAATAAGGTTTTAAAATCCGCATGCTGCAAGGTTGGACGCAAGTTTTAATCAAGTTAGAGTCTTAGAGAGGCATCCACCTTGCGCTTTGTCGCACAGTTTTCTGTTTTTTCGTCATGTCTAAAAGCCGAAGTGACGTCTGGGATCATTTTGTTGCCGAGAATCAAACATCAGCAAAATGCAAGCACTGCGATGCAACAATTCGCCGACATGGCAATACAACAAATCTTCGAGAACACCTTATTAGACGCCACTCGAATGTTTACCAACCAACCGCATCAACTAGCGCTGGCAGTTCATCGATAACGAGCTTTTTTCAAAAGAAGATTGACCCATCAGGAGACAAAGCAAAAGAGATCACTGCGCATATTGCCAACGTCTGTGTTAAAGATTTGCGTCCATTTAGTATTGTTAAAGATGCTGGGTTCCGTGCTCTCATTAAGCATGCATGGCCAACCTATCAAATTCCAAAACGAGAAACGATCCGCCAACTGATCATGCTTCGGCACACTGCAGGCATAAAAGCATTAAAGAGCGAACTGGAAAGATTGAAATCAGACGTCTCTATTACAACTGACGGCTGGACTAGTATGGCTCAGGATAGTTACTGCACAATTACCGGTAAGTCACAGATTTAAATTGACAGTTTCTTCCTAAGTTAACTTTCAATCTACACCTGTTTTCATGTTTTGCTCTGCTAATTTATATCTTATTTTAATATTTTTTTATAGTGCACTTCCTTCGTGAATGGGAAATGACATGCAATGTCCTCGCGACAAGAGCAAGCCTTGATCGTCATACCGGGGTGAATTTAGCTGTTGAGGTGAACGAGACGATGAAAGAATTTGGCCTTGAAGATCATGTGTTTGCCTGTATTCACGATAACGCTGCAAATGTTAATCTCGCCGGCCAAATGATCAATGGCACAAAAGAGAGACCGATAGCCTTCAATATCGGCTGTGCGGCGCATAGTCTGAATTTATCGATCGGAGATGCAATGAAGAAAGGGGTTGACCAGCCCTTTGAAAAGATGGTTGCTGCAGCCAGGAGGCTAGTGGGGCACTTTAAAATGTCCAGTCTGGCAACAAATGGTCTTCGTGCTAAAGTGAAAGAGATGATGGCGTCTGAACATCATGGCAAGGGATTGATTCAGGACGTGTCTACCAGGTGGAACTCAACATTTTACATGTTGGAGCGTCTGTCGCTGTTGCGTTGGCCAGTCGTTGCGGTGTTGTCTGATCAATCTCTGACCAAGCCACAAGAAGCAAGGGTCCTAGATATGCCCGTAGAATCTTGGAAACTTGCTGAGGAAATAGTTCCAGTTCTTAGGAAGGTGGAGCTGGCTACTGTTCTTTTTAGCTCGCAGTCCAAAACAACATCCGGTGTTGTCCTGCCTGCTATTACCGGTTTAGTTCATCAATTGAAAGCCATGACGTTCGAGCGTGCGGTAACCGATGGCCGACGGCGAGCAACCACTCCGCCAGGTCAGAATTTTAGGGATACCCTGGTCCAGTCGCTGACTGACAGATTCTTTCTCGACCAATTGGATGTTACCGGTGAACAAACAGACACCTGTGAAACGGTTCCATTTTATCTGTTGGCTTCATTCATGGATCCCAGGTTTCGTGATCTGTCATTTCTGAGCGAAACCGAGCGGAGTGCATTAGTGGAGTTTGCGTCAAAGACCCTGAAAGCCATGCCATCATCACCTGCAAGCAGCGATGTTGCTGCTGCCACTTCATTGGAACCGGAGATCTTGCCACCGCCAAAGAAAAAGTCCAAGTCAGAGGTAGCCATGGAAGAGTTGCTTGGTAAAGGAAAATCGTTGAACAGCTCTGGGGAATCCACCTGCGAAGTAGAATCTCGCGCGGAAAAGAACCAAAGGATTGATAAGGAGATTCAGCAGCTCAGCAACGAGGCACCAATTGGTTTGACGGAAGATCCGTTAATGTGGTGGAAAGAAAACGAGAAACGATACCCTCTCGTACGGAACCTTGCCGCCAGAGTGTTAGCAGCTCCGCCGACGTCTGTGCCAAGCGAGCAGATTTTCAGCAAGGCTGGACTTGTCGTCTCAAAGAAACGTGCCGCACTTAAGCCAGCCGTTGTAGACGCACTTTTATTTTTAAACAAAAATAACATGTAGACTCTGGGTGAGAGTCACGTTTTCAATTAACTGCATTAGAATTTAGACAGTTTACATACATTGTATTTGTTACGTTCTTTAGTTTTTGACTTTTTGTTCACTTGAAAAATTATTGTAGAGTGATAATATTATTCTTAAAACATCTTGTTTTCAATTTGACAGTTTTGTTAAACAGATAGGTAATAAGGGACTATGATTACGAATACGTCTTAGTTAATTAAGCCTGTCATAATTCATAAACAATTAAACATCCTTAATATCGTCTCTGTCTTTTCATGCATGTCTCTTGTGTGAAGCGTAAGAGCGCGAGAAAGTGCGCAATCGGCAATCTATAATTGTGATTAACGTTCATTTAAAACGCAGATTTAAAACGTTTATAGTGACTGGTGCAACCCCCAAAAATTTAGCAAAAACGTTAATGACAAACCACCATGTCATATTTAAATTAATTATCAATACGATTAATCGATATTAATCGATTGTTGACAACGATTAATCGATTACGAAAATTAACCGATGGGAGCAGCTCTAATTTAAACTTATGTCTCCTGTTCGAAGTCTTGATAAAAGGCCTTTAAGGTGGCTCGATACAGTTTCTCGAATTTTTTTTGGGCTCATTTTAAACAGGGATATTAAGCACCTAAATATTTCACTATAAGGCTAAAAGTTAATATACTTTGCAGGAAACATATGTAGAGCGGAAATATTCTCAGAACCTGTGCCGGGCATCCGTAACCATGGAAACAGAGACGTTTCAAAATGGCCGCCAAACAAGGTTTTATCGTGTTTATATCACAAACGAGTTCGGTGATCCCCAATTTTTTTTGCATTAAGCGTTTACGCTATAGATTATTTATCTATGAAAAAGTTTTTAAAAAATTCTAACATAGGGGAATTTTTTAATAAGCAAAAATAACGTTTTTGTAAATAGAAAAAATTCCCCATGTTAGAATTTTTTTAAAACTTTTTTATAGATAAAGCATTTATGGCGTAAACGTTTAATGAAAAAAAAATTGGGGGTCACCGAACTCGTTTGTGATATAAACATGATTAAACCCTGTTTGGCGGCCATTTTGAAACGTCTCTGTTGCCATGGTAACGGGTGCCAGGCAAAAGTTTTGAGAATATTTCCGCTCTAGATATGTTCCAGCAAAGTATATTAACTTTTTGCCTTATAGTGAAATATTTAGGTGCTTAATATCCCTGTTCAAAATGTGCATCTAGAATTTTCGAAAAATTGTATCGAGCCACCTTAAATCTACTTTGTTCACTTTCATTACCACTTACTCTCTCATTAACATCAAGTACCACAACATTATCAAACATTTTATATGCTAGATAGCCTTGTTCAGCTATTGGATTAGATGGTTTATCATGGTACAATGGTTTGTCTCCAACTGGTGGTAATTGCCCAGGGTCACCAATCAGAATTATAGACTTGCCACCAAATAAGCTATCTTTCAAACCAGTAGCTTGTCTACAACGTCTGTCAATCCACCCTAAGGTTGTTTGACCGAGCATAGAGTATTCATTGATTATAATGTACTCAACAGACAATTGTAGTGTGTGCAAGCTTTGTCCAGATAAATCTTTCTTAGACATTTTGCCTATAGGAAGAATCACATACATCTATGTGCTGTCTTGAACGTGGGTGAACAGGTGGTTTTGTCCACATTTCAGACTGAGGTGGAAATGGATTCCATGTAGTAATAAGTCTATCAACATAATTACAAACAATTTGGGCAGCATTTTTCCCTTCCCCAATTTTAATTGAAATAGATTCATTATCAACAGTCGTGCTATGTTTTTCTGCTAGAAACCCTTTCAATGCAATGTCTGTCAGCTTAGAAAGACCTGGATCAGATTTCAATTTTGCAGCACCATGGCAATGAATACTACCTCTAGCTTGAAACTCATATCGATACCAGTGCCACTCAGCATCCAGTGTATCATACAGCCAATATTTCAAAAACGATTCTAAACGTTTAGTAAAAAACCAGTCAACTAAATGAGGATTGTCAATGACATTCTTCCGTTTGTCCTCTCTACTTAGATTGTCAACGTTTGAAGAAAAAAGGGAGTGCAACTCAGGCCAGTAAAGATCTGCAGATGATAATGTGAAAAATATTGTTGGTGCACCTTTTTCTACAATGATTGCCTTTAAATCCTCCTTAACTTTAAACCAATATGCAGAACTGCCAGTGACATTTGCTACATATCTAGAAAGTTTTGACATAAAAGTTGATGAATTGTTATTTACTAGCCATTTCTTGCAATTCTTCCACGTAAGGTGAGACTCATCAGGATTTTGTTTGAGGAAAATGGAAGTTTGTTGAATAGCACGTTTTCTTTGAATCATATTTAGGGCCCAATATGAAAACCTGGGGTGAGAAGAGAACCTGTATAGCCAGGTACCATCAACATATTCAGAATATTTCAAAAGATGTTGAATTCGATTACCAAAAGGTATGTCTCTTTGCAAACATGGATTAGTTGGATCACCATTTCCATCTGGAAAAAGTGTAGGAAAAAGCAAGTGTGGCAAGAAATGGTGTTGTATACTCACTTAATGGCTGATCATCAATTGAAGGCCAATTTATTTTAGAGTTATTAACAGTTCTTTTTATTGCTTCATTTTCTAAACAGTCATTTTTAGGGAGTGGGAGAAAGCTATTTGTTTCTTTATCACAGTGAACTACTTCCTCTCCAGTTAAAATTGTATCTGTTTCCTGATCATCAACTGCATCTGGGTCTTCTGTGTTTCTATTGTAGGTATGTTAGAAGGAATACCATTACTTGGTAATGATTCTAATGCATTTGAATCAATAGTTACACATCTGTATTGTGGATTATGTTTTAATAACCAATATAATGCTTGCTCAACTTTATGCCTCCTAACTAAAACATCTTTTATAGCATTGTCCTTCCCTTTCATGGTAACAACTATAATTGGGATATCAGAAGGAATACGAGGAAGAGAATTAGCAAGCTCTGACACTTTTTGGGGCAAATTTATACAATGTCCAATATATCCTCTTTGACCATCAGGTTTTACATAAACTCGCATTATGGGAAGTGCTCTGACAATTAGCATCTCTTCAATTTGAGTTAAGCCCTGCAGCTCATCTGGCACACTTGAGGGAGTCATATTATTTTGAGCAGAGAATTTCCTTGGAATTTTTTTGTCACTTTTGCATCTGCGGCAAACATAATTAGTGCTAGATTTTGGTTTGATTTTTACAGGCCATGCTTCAAAACATTCAGAACACTGAATAGTGGTGTTATTGCATTGAGTCATGGAACAATTTAAGGTTCGCTCTGTAACTTTCTGAACCAATGACATGGTGTTGTTTAAGGTTTTGTGTTTTTTTAGATACTTCACTGCTAGAAGTACTATGCTCACTACTGAAAGGACCTGCAGACAACACACAACCTTCTTGCATATTGACATTTGGCTCATATTTTGACAACTTACTTGGAAATGGGCAAGCATCAGATGTTTGTTTCAATTTAAAACACTTGTTCACATGTTTTTTACTTGAAAAATGTGTATCAGATGAACAGTCAATACTTTTTTTTTACATAAATTCTGTGTATCTGAACTTGCATTGAGAACTACATCAAGAACAACATCATAATGTATACCAGATGTATTTTGAATATAAATAGAACATGTGTTTTGCGGGGGCAAACCATCAAGCATTGACTTTGAAAACTTATTCCATACCAAATTATTACCTGCACTTCCATACACATAAATGTCAGTGCTTAGCAAAGAAGCAGCAGCAAATATTTCAATGTCAGTTCCCCACACTCTTTCCTGGGCCATGCCAGTTGATTAAATATATTCACTTAAAGACATGTTCATATGTGGAAGCAACTGGTTTTCAATAGTTGTCATATGATATAATATTTTATGTCTTACAAGAGAGTGGTAGACTTGTCGCCCGGTAATAACATATGAAAGTGCTTGAAATAAACAGTTCCCATCACCTACAATTCGATACAGTTCGGCTGGTTCAGTTAACATTTTGGGAATCTTTGTTGTACAAGGCAAAATCAGTGGTAAATTTGTTAAAGAGCACATAAATCTTTGAGCATTTTTGATCAACTGGACTGAATGAGAATGGACAAGCCATGGCAAAAATGCACTACTAAATGTACTACGAAATCAATCACGTGCCACTCTAAGATATGGAACAGTTTAGTATAAAGATCAAGCAATATAAATTCATCACAATATTGTTGGTGAAAACGAGGAGTGCAAACACACCAAAACACGAGGCGTGCGAAGACACCAAAACACAAGGCGTGCGAACACACCAAAATATGTTGGTCGGTATTAAAATACGCCAAAAACAACTTCAAAGCGGTCAAAGGGTTTGTAAACACTAACAAAAGGCACTGTATGAATACACCCCAAACAACCTCAAAACAATACTTTTATTTCATAACTACAGCATGCTAGATCTCAGGATGATGAATTTGTAAACAAAAATGTAGATTTTAAATTAAATTAAACACTAAAACATGGCCTTCGTAGGGCTTAGATCCTTACTAAACCTTACGTTGAGTTAAAATAGTTTACAAGTGACAATTCAAAGGAAATAAAATCTGATAAACGTAATACGCCTCATATACTGATTGAAGTCGCACACTAGCAGCACAATAAGCAGATTATACACTGTCAATGCGCAAATGTTAATAGACATATACGCGAATATTAATAGCTTATAGTGGGTTAAAATAATTACAGTATAAATAAATCAGCCCAAACAACAAGCAATTGCCAACCCTTCACTTACAGTATTGAAAACAAAGGCGAATGAAATGCTAAACAGAATCAGGTCGAAATTGTGTATGATCACTATTTGTTTCGGTGCCGTCGAGCGGAGTTAAAAAGCTTGCCTTGTCTTTCTACACCAAATATCGATAAACCTAGATTATCTTTAAAAACACTAAACTGTGGCACACTAAAGTGTGGCCTTTAATAGTTTACA